TTTGGGGATGATTTTCCTCCCCAGCACAGGCTGAGTGTGAGGGAAAGCAGAGCAGCTCTGGGGGCTGAGCTGGGTGTCCACGGCCAGGTGCAAAGTCCAGCTCTTTTTAGAGGGATCAAATAAGAATTTTTCTTTCCAGGAAAAAAAAAAAAAAGAAAGAAAGAAAAAGAAAGAAAAATTAAAAATCCCCCTTGAAAGAGCCTTCTTTTATTGTCCTGTGGTGCCTTCCAGCTCAGACTGAGTCTGGCAAATCCAGTGGGGAAAGAACATTGTGTCTCCAGCTCCTTGGCCTGGGACTGAACTCCATACCTGGCACCAGCAGGAAAAGCATCCTGCTCCTTTCAGCTGAGTTCACATTTACTGTCCCCCTCCCTGTTCCTGGGAAAGAGTTCCTTCTGGGGACTCCCTTGTGGATAGTTCCAATCTCCTTAAAATGCAGCCCCTGTAAAAAGCAGGAAAAGAAAACAGCCTTTATGATGGAAAAACATATTTTACACAGGAGAGAGAGAAAAAAAAACCAGCTCCCACCTTGTTGGTTTTGCAGGGAATGGATTGAAATTGCTTGTCCAAAGCGAAGTTTCTGCCCTGTCCCCTGGAAAGACATGGGGGGAGATGGGGGAGCTCAATAAAACTCTGACTGCTTGGGCCTGTTTTCATAGTGGGGCACAATAATGGAGTTAAAAGGGGCTGTAGAAACTATTAAGTGCTTGATGGATGTTTGGATTAATTTGATGCATGTTTAAAAAGCTGTTAATTAAAAAAAAAAAAAAAAAGGGGAAAAGGGAACAAAGGAGTGGCTGTAAAAGTAAGGAAAGGCTGTTCCTAGAAATTCTGGTGGTTTCTGGATATCCTGGTTGGTAATTCCCACCTTATTGATGAAAAAAACAAGAAAAAAAAAAGATGAAAAAAAGAAAATTCCTGCTCTGGTGATGGGAAAGGTGCCTTATCCCAGGAATCCAAACTAAAGGTTGATCTTGGTGCCTCCTGGAAAGCACAGAGGGAAAGGGGGGTTGTTGAGGCCTCCTTTTCTGTGGGGATAATTTATGGGTCGTGGTGTGGAAGGGAGAGCTGTTGAGGTGCAGGGCCTAATGAAATAGCCTGGGCTAATCCAGGTCCTGGCACTTTCCTGGAGATATCCAGTTCCACCTCCGTGCAGAGGGAGCAAACCACCCACCTTGCCTGTCATAAACCACCTGCCGGCATTCCCGGGGATTTCCAAGTGTGTCCCACGTGGATTTCAACCCAGAACTGGAACTGGAGAGCTGGGGGGACACAGTAATGGGTTTGTGTCCCTCTTAATTACTTATAATTAGTCTGAGGGATTCGTGCTGATCACTCCTGGGCTGCAGGACGTGTGGAATTGGGGCTGCTCCATCCCTGGAAGTGTTCAAGGATAGCTTGGAGCAACCTGGTCTGGTGGAAGGTGTCCCTGGATGGAACTGGATGTTCTTTAAGGTCCCTTCCAAAATAAACCCCTCTGTGATCTTGGCAGTGTTCATTAAATGGAGAAAGGGTGGCTGGTGACCTTAAAAGTCTTTTCCAGCCTTAATGATCCTGGGATTCTGTGGCTGGCTTGGGATGGGATGATATTTTGCCCTTTCTGTGTCAGTTTTGAGGAATTCAGCTGCACAAAGAACGTGCTGGAATTCCAGGGACGCTAGAATTAGTTGGGAATATTTGCTGGTGTAACTTTAAAGGGTGTTTTCCTGATTCATCCCAAACATTCTGTGGTGTTTTATTGCCACTTGAGTTCTTCAGGCAGCCCTGTATTTTTGGGGGTGAATGTTACAGATTGTTGGCTGGCTCTGTGTTTGAGAGGTCTGTGCATTTACAGATCTGTGTCTCGATGTATTCTGTACCTGAAGCACACAATCCTGGCCTCCAGCTTTCCCAGGAGAGTGCCATGGGAAACATTCCCAAGCTTGGCATTTGGAAAATGAAAAGGAAGCATTCCCTGGGTTTCACACCCCAATCCTCAGATGATGGGCTGGCTGAGTCCTCTCCCTTCTGCCATGGTTGTGTTGGGAATGAATTCCTTATTTCTCGGCTGAGGCTCTGGAGAACGGAGGGTGGGGAGGGTTTGGAGCACTTGGGAAGAACAAGGGACTTTATCCTGGGAAGCTGCTGGCTCTGATCCAGCTGTGCTGGTTGTCTTTAAAGCTCCCAGCTCCCTGTGGAAAGTCCAGTGCCATGGATTAAAAGCCTTCCCTGTGGAAGGAGCATGAGGAGTAGGAACCCAGAGTTAGGATGGGGAGGGAAGGGCTCTGAAGCCCCGGGGGGAGCACAGCGCTTTCATCCCTGCACCCTACGGGATAACAAACACATGGATGGCTCCAGAAGACATGGAATGCCGTGGTTTATGTGCTGGGTGTAATGAAACACCTGCTGCTGGGAGGGAGGGAGTGCAGGGAGTGTTGTTTTTAGCAGCTCACGGAGCCCCTTCAGAAGCGAAGGTCACGGGTTCGGCGCGTTTGTCACTCCGGCCCCGTTCCTAATGAAACAACTGCAGCATAAACTCCCAGTAAACTCCCAGATCCCACTGTTCTCCTGCACCACGTGTGTGGCAGAGCACAAGCCCAACCTAAGGCAAGCTCAGCCTTTGAATCCTCCCCAAAGTGCTTTTCTGAACTCCGTCTCTCTCTCCCCCTAAAGCCTCTGAGTTTGGCAGGAGCTGCTGCTGCCTCCAAAACCCAGCTGAGCAAACAGCCCCTGGCTCACACAGGAAGCCAGGCCAGGTTGGGAAGGGGATGGATTCCATGTCCCAGCACCAGGGAGGAGCCCTGTGCCACCTCCCTGCTTCCCCAGCAGCCAGGAACTGTGCCCAGGAATTGGTTCACCCTGCGGTTGTGGGGGGAGAGAAGAGGCCTCTCCAATTTTCTGGCACACCTTAAATGGCTTTAAATAGCTGCACTTCCAGCTCCTTGGGGCTGGGTTTGGGAATTTGACCTGTGGGAGTGTTGGAAAGAAAGAAAAACCAGGTTGTTTTTTCTTGGTGGGGATGAAAAAACCCAGTGGGCTTTTCCTTCACGGTGGTGGTTTTCCTGGAATAATCTTATTCCAGTGAGTTAACAATGTGGCATCACTTTGCTCTTTTTATGGCATCCCTTTGCTCTTCCTGGCTTTCCCACTGTAGGAAGCTCCTGTTTGACTTGCAGCAACCTAAGAGGCCTCAGGAGCTGCCCCACAGGGACTCTGCTGGCTGCACAGGAGGGAGGCAGTAGGAATTCTTTGGGAGTTTTTTGAGGCCACACCTGCAGCCTGCATAGTTTTCCAGCCCTTAGCAGGAGGGCAAGGCAGGGAATCACCACCAGGTATTGGAGCTGGGAAGGGCTGTTACTGGGACCAGCATTAGGAGCTGGAAATCCAGGTATGGAACAGTGGAGGGAGAGAAGGGGTTCAGAGAGCCAGGAGGAGGCTTTGCCCTCCAGCATCTACTGGAGCTCCCAAAACTTGCTGCTGCTTTCCAAGCTTGCCCAGAAAGTTGTGGCTGCCCCTGGATCCCTTGGAGTGTCCAAGGCCAGGTTGGACAGGGCTTGGAGCAAGCTGGGACAGTGGGAGGTGTCCCTGCCCATGAGCATCCCAACTGAAACCACTCTGTGATTCCAGGGTTTTTCTCTTCCATTTCATCCTGTCATAAGCACTTGTTCCAGCTCCTTCAAACATTCTTCATTGTCCCCTAATTTTGATGGATTCCTTGTCGATCCTTTCCCTCAGGACAAGCCGGTTGTTTCGGAAGGATCCAGGAGGAGAGAGAGGGACTTGGTAGCCAAAGAAATCCGGAAGCCTCAGGCCTCCATCCAGACTCTGTGCCAGAACACCTTAGCCCTTGGCAGGATCGTGGATTACATCCAGGAGGACATGGATGCCATGAAGAACGAGCTGGAGATGTGGAGGCAGGAGAACAGGCAGCACGAGGAGGCCCTGAGGAGAGAGCAGAGGTCAGTGTGTGCTCAGGGGGGCTGGGCTGAACTCAGGGACATTCCTTAATCATCCCATTCCAGCCCCTGCCATGGGCAGGGACACCTTCCACCAGCCCAGGTTGCTCCAAGCCCCATCCTGGCCTTGAACTCTTCCAGGGATGGGGCAGGCACAGCTGCTCTGGGAAAGCTGCTCCGGATGAGCCCAGACGTGAGCGTTGCTGTTGCCTCGTGGGGATCTCTCCTGGCCAGTGTTCTCCCCTATCCGTGTCTTTGTGCTTCTTCTGCCAAAGTTTCTCTCAGGAAAGTTGGGAACAACTTAAAGGCCGGGTTGGATAAGGCTTGGAGCAGCCTGGCCTAGGGAAAGGTGTCCCTGCCCGTGGCAGGGCTGGAACAAGATGGTTAAAGATCCCTCCAGGCCCAAACCGTTCTGGGATTCCATGATTCCATCAAATACTTTGCAGCCCTTCAGGTGTTGCAGTGCCCTTTTTTTTTGAGGATTAAATAACCTGAGGCAGCTCAGAGTTCCCCACAACATCCTGCTGTTGTCTTTCAGCATCACGGACAGTGTTTTGGAACCACTGAAGGCTGAGCTGGCTGAGCTGGACCAGCTGATGAACGACCAGCAGGACAAGATCCGTGCTGTCAAAGCCAATATCTTAAGGAACGATGAAAAAATCCAGAGGATGGTTCTCAGCATAAACCAGGCTGCAAGAAAGTGAAGAAGAGGGAAAAGAGAAGACTTAAAAAAAAAAAAAAAAGCCTTGGGACTCACGGACATTCCTACCAAAAAAACCCACCCCCAAATCCCAAGTAGCAGATATGCCTTGTTCAGATTTAAAAGGTTTAGGGACTGGAACCCTAAAACTGTGTTAAAAAATGTTATTGCATTGATTTTTAGATGTTATTCTGCAGGTTAAAATGATATTCACTTGAATGTTCAAGTTGCAGAGCTATTAAAATAACTTGTTTGTTTAAATGGGAGCTGCTGTTTCTCCTTCCCAGGTTTTCAGAGCCCTCTTTCCCTCTGCGGCCACTTCTCCCAACATCTCCTTCTCCTCATCTCCACGAGGTACAGGATAAATGGGGATTCAGTAATGGCAGAAGGTTCCTGAACCCTGCTCAGAGCTATCAGGAATCTGGTGAGGACCAAGTGAAAACGCGGTTGGAGCATCACCCTGTCAGGGAGCTGAAGTGTTTTATCTGCACAGGTGTTAATTCCATTTTTACTGCATATGTTCCTGTGGAAAGGATTAGTTTAAGCACCTGTTTCCTCCCCAGTGGGTGTCCTGGTGACTCTGTCTGTGGGAATAACTCCAGGGATGTTTTTCTCAGTGAGCTGCAGGTGTCAGGAGTGTTTTCCTCGTGCCCTCTGGGTGTTCTGCCCAGGAGACTCCAGCTTTGGTCACTCCTAAACCTGCAGCAGTGCTATTTGACACAACTGGGTGCAGGGCTTTAGTCCCCTGCAGGGCTGTTCCCAGGGTTTTTAGTTGCTTGGATCATGGATGAAGTGCCAATGGCCTTATTTTTCCTTACTGTTTGATGTTTCTATGGAGGGTTTTTTGGGGTTGGTTTTTTGTGGTTTTTTGGGGTTTTTTTGGCTTCTTGGTTTCTTTTCTGCTGTCTGGACCTGCAGACCCACCAGGGTCCTGCTCAGGTGGTGTTTGTCCCCAAGAGCCCCTCAGAGCTCCCCAGTGTTAAAATCCACCCTTGGAGGGCACAGGAGATTTGTCCCCTGTCCCCCTTTGGCTTTGTCTCCCTTTGTCACCCCTTGGCTCCCCTTCCACGCCCCTCCTGCATCCACAACATCCAGCTGGAGCAGCCCCAGGACGTTCTGGGTGTTCTCCAGAGACCTCAGCTCTGCCCTGGGTTAAACAGGATTGAAATCCTGACTTTTCCTTTCCCTCAGCTATTCCATGAAGTGTTCACTTCCCCACACCCTCCTCCTGCTCCTCCTGTCCCTGCTCTTGTCCCTGGGGGTTCTTGGCCTTTCCCTCCCTGAAAACCCCATTTCCCCCAAAAAATCCCTATTTCCCTCCCCCAAATCTTCATTTTCCTCCCAAAAAACCCAATCCCCTCCAAAAAAAAATCCCCATTTCCTTCCCAGAAAAAGTCCATTTTTTTCCCCAGCCCCCCATTCCCCCCCAAAAAAAACCCATTTTACACCCAAAAAACCACTTCCCTCCCAAAAAGTCCTCATTTAATTCCCAGAAAACCACAATTTCCTTTCCCCCCTAAAAAATCCTGTTCCCCTCATAAAAGTTCCATTTTTCTCTGAAAAATCCCGATTTTTGGTGGATCTCAGGAACATTGGGGTCACAGGGTTCCATCCACAGAATCCCCGGAAGGCAGAGGAGCCCGTTCCAGGTGAGTGGGATCTAACCTGGCAGGGCTTGCATGGATTTCATGGCAAAGGGGCACTTGGACAGAGCTCCTTCTGTTCCAGGGGACTGAGCCGGTGCAGAGGGAAGCGGATGGGAAGCGGGACAGCCTTGGAGCTTCTCCCAGTTCCTGGGCCGGCAGCCTGGCCACAGGGATCACTCTCTGGCTCCCAGAGCTTTCCCCTGGATCAGGTTGGAGGCAGGAGATGCTTCATTTCTTCTCTGCTTTCAGGTTCCTCTGCTTTTTGGAGCGCTCTCTGGAGCCCAAGGGCGGGCTGTGCTTGGGGATCCACGGCTGGGAAGGAGAAGCTGTTTGGATGAGAAGGTGCAGGAGGTTCCAAACTGGCCTGGCTTCAGCCTGGAGAGGGAGAAAGGAAGTTTTCCAATCCAGTTCAAACAAAATCCGGGCACAGCTTCCAATGCACGTTCCAAAGCTGGAAATGGAGGGAACCTGAGGTAGGTCCTGGGTCAGCAGCAGTGCCTGGAGTGCAGGAAGGGGCAGGAATGACAAGTGGCGCTGATGGATTGGGAGTGAGCAGCTGGAGCACTGTGAGCTGGGCTTTCACAGTCCTGGAGGGCTTTGGGTTGGAAGGGACCTCGAAGCTCATCCCATGGTGCCAAGGGCAAGGACACCTTCCACTCCCCCCACAACCACAGAGGACAGGGAGAGATCACGCCCCAGTTCCCATCCCAGGCAGGACAGACTCCTCTGGGGAAATCACTGCTGAGCCAGTGGAGATTTTCCAGCAGTGGCAGGATTTCAGTGGGAAAGCTGTGTCCCCACCCTGAGGGCAGTGGGATGAGGCACAGGAGAGCCTCGGTGGCCTCAGCATCCCTGGTGGGATGCTGTGCTGGAGGCCAGCCCTGGAGCTGGGAGGCATTCCCAGGCCACCCAAGGTGGCTGATCAGGTAAGCTGGGAGCAGGGAGAGGGCTTCTCCTCCAGTTTCAGCCCCGGCATTTCCCTCCCGTGCTCGGGAGTGTCAGGAAAGGGCCGGCTTTGTGTTTAACTGCCCCGGGCTGGAAACTGGGAGCTCCCATTAATGGGATCCTTGTCCTCTGGAGCCAGAATGAAGGGTGGGAGCCCCGGCTGCCTCGCAGCTAAAGACTGTTCTATTGTGCTGGGCTTTATTCCTGCTGCTGGAGCCACCGGGAGCTGCGGGGGAAAGGTGTTATCCCACGAAAATGGCACTTTCTCAGGTATCACGGGCTGCCTTTGCACCTTTGGTGGGCTCTCCCCGAGCAGCAGGACCACCCCAAGGCATCCAGCTGCTCCCAGTGAGTGCCTGGGCTTTGGGGGAAACTTCTGTGGGGTGCAGGAGGGAGAGGGTGAGTCCCAAGTGTGCTTGGAGCCCCTCCAGGAGGGATGAAGTCCTTCCCAGAGCCCTGGAGGTGGCAGAGGGTGAGTGCCACTCACCTGCAGGGATGGAGCTGTGGGACAGGGGGTTGTTGCACAGCGATTTGGGGAGTGTTGGGATGTTCAGTGCAGATTTTGGTGCCCAGTTAGGGCTGAGATTTGCCAAGCAGGGAGTGTTTTTTGTGGGAAGTGTCTGGTGCCCAGTTAGGGCTGAGATTTGCCAAGCAGGGAGTGTTTTTGTGGGAAGTGTCTGGTGCCCTTTGGGGTTCAATTCCTGAAAAGTTGCCCTCGTTCTGTGCAAGTGCAAAGTGCCCTTTGTGGTGTCCAGTGTTCAAGTGTGGACCTGCCACACCTTCACCTGCCCCACTGCAAAGCCCCAGACCTCCCCATCCTCCCAGTGCTGCCAGCAGGGATCAATCCACATGGGCATGTGTGATTCCAGGGATCTTCCTCCCTGTCTCCCGGCAGCTGCAAACTGGACATGGAATCAATCACAGAGTGGCTTGGGTTGGAAGGGACCCTAAAACTCCCCCAGTCCCAACAGGCAGGGACACCTTCCACCAGCCCGGGCTGCTCCAGGTGGCCTTGGGCACTTCCAGGGATGGGTTTCCAAGCCAGAGCTCAGAAGTGAATTCCCACCAGGAATTAACCCTGGGGGTGATCCCTGGGACAACTCTCCAGGGCAGGAGGAGCCAAGTGGTGTTGGGGGCAGCCAAACCCCAGGTTTGGGGTCAGGACTGTCCTGTTTGCCCTGGCCAGGGCCTGGGGGTGCCCTGGGGGCTCCAGTGACAGGTCCAAACAAGGCAAATGATAGGTTTGTTAATCCCAGGGAGAGCAGGAGCGGCTCAGGGAAGGTGGGACAACATTCCTGGAGCAACATAAGGCTTTTTAAACAATTTCCTGATGATGCCTTTGTCTGCTTGATCTTCCAGCCTGAGTTATTATTATTATTGTTATGGCCCTGGGTTTTTTTAATTTACTTTTTAGTTTCCACTTATTTATTTTATTTTATTTAGTTTTTTTGTTAGTTATTTAGTTTAGGTTTTATTTAGGTTGGGTTTTTTTTTAATTTGGGGGGTAGGTTTTTTTTTTAATTTATTTTTTAGTTTCATGTATTTATTCATTTTATTTTATTACATTTTTCGTAATTTTTTTATTTAGATTAGGGTTTATTTATTTGGGGGGGGTTAGGGTTAGGGTTAGGGTTAGGGTTTTTTTAGGGTTTTTTAGGTTTTTTTCAGGCTTTTTAAATTTACTTTTCAATTTTCACTTATTTATTTTATTTTATTTAGTTTTCTGTCTAGTTTTTTCATTTTTATCTAGTTGAGTCTTTATTTAGTTTCTTTAGGGGTTTAAGAGTTTGGTGGGGTTTTTTTTAGTTTTTAAGGGTTTGTTGTTTTTTAATTTACTTTTTAATTTTAATTATTTATTTTATTTTGATTTACTTTTCCTTTTATTTTTCTTTTGTTTTATTTAGTTCAGTTTTTTATTTTTGGGAGGGGGGTTAACTTACTTTTTAGTTTCCGTTTATTACTTTTTTTTATTTAGTTTTTCTGTTACTTATTTAGTTTAGTTTTTATTTAGTTTTTTAATTTTTTTTTAGTTTTCTAATTTTTTTCATTTTTATTTTAATTTAATTTTTAGCTTTTATTATTTATTTCATCTTATTTTGCTTTCCTATCAATTTTTCATTTGTTATTTAGTTTAGGTTTTATTTGGTTTTTATTTGGGTTTTTTTTAGGGTGGTGGTTGTTGTTGTTGTTTAATTTATTTTTTAGCTTTCATTCTTTATTTCATTTTATTTCGTCTCCCTTTCAGTTTTTCCATTTTCATGGAGTTTTCCATTGACCAAAGGAAGGAAAGGCAGAGGTCCCTGTGCTGTGCCAGGCTCCAACATCCCACCTTTGAGGAACCAAACCCTGAGGGCTTTGTGCTGATCCAGGAACCCAGAACTAGGGGTGAGTCCATCCCACGGGACACAGTCCTGGATGTTCCTCTCCAGTGAGTCCATCCCATGGGACACAGTCCTGGATGTTCCTCTCCAGTGAGTCCATCCCTGCTGTCCCGTGGGTCCCTCCTCCATGGGGTCAGTCCCTTGGGTTTTATTTGCTGTGGCTCTCTCAAGCCCATCAGGGGGACATTTCTGACATCCCCCCACCCCATGACCTGGTTTTGAGTGGAGAGAGGAGGAAATTTGGGTCATTTGTTAAAAGCATCACTGGCAGGAGAGGCTGGAAGAAGGACCAGCACAGCCCTCAGGGTTGTTTTTTATACAGAATCATGGAATTGTTTCCATTGGAAGGGACCTTAAAGCTCATCCCACGTGCAGGGACACCTCCCACTATCCCAGGTTGCTCCAAGCCCCGTCCTTGGACACTTCCAGGGATGGGGAGGCTGCGACCTCAGGGAGCCCCAAGCCTGGGAGCTGATTTTTGGTAAACCGAGCCATTTTAAACAACTCCGGAGCCGCTTCCACTTACCAAGAGAGACAAAATAACCAGAGGAAAAAATGATCTTTTCCAAACCCCTGGAAGCAGAACCCCCTTCCCCGGGAGCAGAGGGAGGTGGCCGGACGTGTGGAGAGTTAATTGTCATTCCCTAATTAGCTGTGCCACCGCCGGTGGGAGCGGGGCCGGGAGCAGGGAAACAACGGGGCGAGTGTTTTATGTTCACACCGCACCTCGGAGCGCAGCGGCCGCTGTCAAACAGGCAGGAATGCCGCTGCCTGGAGAGCCGCTCGGGATTCCTGCCTCCCCCCTTCCCAGAGACACCTTTCTCCGGGTAATTGTTCCGACCCCGCGGCGTGTCCAGGGAAATCACGGCTTTTCGGGTCTTTTTTTAGCACTGGGGGTTGAGTGGGGAGGGTGGGGGGGGAAGTGGTTCTTGCTTTGTTTAGTTCCCTTCAATCCCCCCTTCCCTGGAACTGCCCGGGGGCTTCTTTTCCCCCCTCTTTTTGCTTCTCCGAAGGCTCAATTCAATAAATACACATCCGGCTCCTCGGGAGCTTAATGAAATTGTGGGAGGCACTTCCAAGAGCAGGATGTTTGTTTTTCTCTGCTGCTGCAGGTCGTGTGTGCCCGGAGAGCTCCATAAAGAGCCCCTTGTGCCGGCTGGGAATGCCGGGGCAGGCGGGAAGGGCTGCGCTCACTCAGCACTGCACAGCCGGCTGCACTTCCAGGGACTTTGGGAGAACGAGCCCGGTGTTAAGGTGGGAAAGTCAAGCACTTGCAGGGCAGATACGGCCTGGAGAGCTGGCTTAATCCATCTGTTTATGGGAGCACATTATGGAGCAGGCTCCTCTTTTCCCACAGGCCTTGCTGCTCAGGTCAGGGAGCTTTCTGCCTTCGGACAGAGCTCCCCCCCTTCCCGGTGTGCTCTGTCCAGAAATGCCCAACACCACCATGAAATCTTCACTGTTTCCTCTCTCTGTGTTTCAGGAGACAAACACTGGTTTGGGACCCCGAGGTGCAGCGAGGATGGATGGATGGATGGACGGAGGGATGGAGAAAATTTGGGTGCATTCCAATGCCAGGAGTTCACGGTGAGTCCTGTTCCCTTTGGGCCTGGCACTGAACATTCCCAGAATAAACCACTTTCCTTGCCTGAGAGACCTCCAGCCAAAGCCACCAGGCACAGGACGTGGCACAGCAGCAATGAAGTGTTGGGACACCAGGTCTCTCCTGACCTGGAATTCCCATCCTGGGAGTGATTTCCCAAAGCATCAGATTAAAACCAACTCATCTGTTTAGTTCTTTCATTTTGGCCTTCCCAGTCACAATTCCAGAGCTTCTACTGGAAGCCCTGGGATGAGAGCTGAGTGCCTTTTCCAGCACCTCTGGCTGTGCTTTCCAGGACATGGGGGTAGGAAATCCTGCTCTCTCTCAGGCCATCCCAAGGAATCCAGCTCTCTCAGGTGATTCCATAATTTTCCTGGGAGATATGAAAGGGATGTGTAGGACAACCATTGTCCTGTTTCCTTCTAAACTGGCATCCAGTGGTCAGGGCTTAAAATACCTCCCAGGAAGGCTCCAAGGATCAGAGGTGTGTGACCCACCCCTCTTTGGGCACAGCCAGTAGGAAATACTCAGGGGTTTGGGCCATTTTTCCACAAAAGAAATGGTGAAGCCACTGTAAACTTTCCTTTGGGACCATGTTGGGGCTGGCATCCCCCATCCATGGCCATCCATGACCATGCAGGTCCAGGCTCCTGGATCTCCCAGCTCAGGATATTCCCTGATTCCAGGACCTTTGTTTATCCTGGTGGTTACTGGGGTGTTACAGTGTGATCTCCACTCACCTTCTCCTGGTCAGGATGGAAGGAGCAAAGCCCTGGACACCTGCTGGAAGGTTACAGTTCATCAGTCCTGCCTCTGTTCCCTCAGGACACTCCTGTTTCGGCCCATCAAGGCTCATTTGCAGCATAATTAACTCCCTGCACTCCAAGCAACCTTCCTGTTGTCATCTCTGTGGTTACAGCCCTAAAGACAGGCCTGGAGGCTGCAATCAAATCCTCCTCCCATCTCTCATCCCTGTTTTCCTCTTAATGTGTGTCTTTATGTCCACCACACAAATTCCCCAGAAAACCCCTGAGCTGTGCTAAAAATGGGGGGGATGAAGGATTTCCCCCCCTCCCTCTTTCCCCCCAGATGTATTTATCACCAGGACCACTTCACTTCAGAGTTCACTAAAAATCCAAGCCCTTGGCTTAGATCCAGGGAGGGAGAAGTTTTATGGGCTGAGCTAAGTGTGAATTACAGTTCTGGTCACGGCATTTGTTCTTCCCCCCCCTTTCCTTCCTTTCTTTCTTCCTTTCCCGTGACTGGGACTCTGGCACAGCTTTTTTTTTTTTTCCTGCTACCTGGCAGGTCTGGGAGGAACCTTGAGGGATTTAGAAGGTGTTGGTGCCTCTGGAAAAGGGCAGTGGTGGGGGGACTAACCACTGGTGTTAGCACTGGGTGTAAATAATTGTCCTTTTCAATCACTTGGTGGGGAACCTGGAGGGGTGATTGAGGGCTCCTCTGGAGCATTAAGAGGAGTTATCTTTTTTCTTTTTCTTCCCTTGCCTTGCCTTTCTTTTCTTCCCTTCCCTCTTTCCCTCCTTCCCTCCTCTCCTCCTCCTTTCCTCCTTCCTCCTTCCTCTCTTCCTTTCCTTGTTTCTTTTTGTCACTTCAGGGTTTGGGAGTGGAGGAAAGGTCCTGCCTGAGGGGCAAGTCAGTGTGTGTTGGCTGTGTTGGATAAGGGGCTATTTTTAGATCCTGGAAGCCTCCTCCTCCTCCTCCTTCTCCTCCTCCTCCTGGAGGCTCCAATTTCCAGGCGGGGTGGGATCAGCCTGAAAGGCCACCCGTGGATAACACACTGCTGGAATGGAGGGAAGGGGGGACAAGGTGAGCCCACCTTCCCTGCCTGCTTCTCCCTCCTGGGGGTGGGCATGGCCAGGGAAGGGTTCTGGCAGCGATGTCCTTCAGGACAGGGAGCCAGCAGGACCCAGTTCCTCTGGATCCGCTGTCTGGTGGCACTGGGGGACCTCATCAGGCAGCAACTCCCTTTGGAAACAGTCCATGGACCTCAGCACTGTCCCAGTTCCAGGAAGCACTGACATTATTATTATTTTGTTATTGTTATTATTATTTATCATTATTGTTGCTGTTATTATTATTGTTATTGTTATGGACTAATCCAGGCTGAAAGGAACCTCAGGAGATCATCCAGTCCAAGCTCCCGGAGCACAGGCTGTGCCCTCAGCTTGTGAGGGATGGATCTGGTGGGAGCAGTCAGCTGTGCTGGGCAAAACTCTTTCTCCAGACTTGGGAAAAGCAATTCCAAGGTCTTGGCCAACTGCTGACCTGTTTGCAAAGTTCTGCCTTCCCCTCTCGGTGACAGAGATCGGCAGTTGAGTGTATTTCTCCGTGGGATTTCTCCTGAACACCCAGGGAATTCCCGAGCTGGAGGCTGAGACAGCACAGTCACGCCCTTTCCACCACCCCAGCACAAGAACTCATGAGGACAGCTTGGGATGGGCTGGTTTGCACGTGAGTTTAATGGGGAAAAACAGAGAGGGAAAAAAGCCTGGTTCAGGAGATAACCTGCTGGAAAACACAGTGGGGTATGGTGTGTAAGAACCTTCTGCCCTCACTGCAGTATGTCTGTGAGAACACAAATACTTATAAACATGGGGCTGGGAGAGGAGACAGTGGCTGAACAGAGGCATTTGCTGTAGAACTGAAGGGACCTCAAACCATGAGCGATTCCAGCTTCATCTGCCCTGTTTATCCATCACTTTATTCCTCTCTGGGGCTCTGCTTTGCCCACAGGGACAGCAACCATAATGCAAGTAAACACTGCTGTGTGCTCTGCTCCCCTTTCTTCCCTCTGTCCACAGGGAGAAGAGTCAGCTCTGAAGGAAATAAAAGCCCACGGACAGAAATGCTTTTTCCTCTGGATGAGCCCCTGTTGCTGGGCACACTTTGCAGCTGGAGGAGCTCATTAAATCTATTCCCATTAAATCTACTCCCATTCAATCAAGCAGGGGCTGGAAAGCTGCTCTGGTCTGTCTTGTGCTGCCACCAGGGAAATGGGATGTGCCTGGCTGCTGGAGTGGACGTGGAGCGGGATAGAGCTGTAAACTGGGGTTGGAAACCGAGGAAGGAATTCCTGGCCTCAGTTTTGCCTCATCTAATGGCATAAGGGCTGCAGGCAGGGCAAGGTGGTTTCTGAGATTCCCATCCACCCCAATCTGCTTCTGCTGTTCCAGCGGGCCAAGGGAACGGGTTGGAAGCACCCCCACCATTCCCCGCTGACAGCGGGCACTCAAACCCGGGCACTCAGGAGCGAGGGCGTGTTCTAAAGGCTCTGTGCCAGGGCGGTAAGGAGGATGCAGAGCTATCGGAGTGCCCGAGGAAAGGCCGTGAAGGTGGCGCAGGGTCTGCAGGAGAAGCCGGCCGAGGAGCGGCTGAGGGCACTCGGATTGTTCAGCAGGAGAAGGGAGCGGAGACCCATGGGGGTCTCACGGGGGGCAGCTCTGCGGGACAGGGACGGGACCCGCGGGCACGGCCGGAGCTGCGCCAGGGGAGGCTCAGGATGGAGATCAGGAAAGGGTCTTTTTCCACCCCAGCTGCTCCGCGGAGCGCCGCTGGAAGCAGGAGCCGCGGTTCCCGGAGGAACACGGGGGATGCTGAGGCGCTGGCGGCCGGCTCCTCCCGCTGAAGGAGGAAAGGCTCGGGAGATGCCCCCGGAGCGCCGGGAAAATCCACCTTAACGCCCAGGCAGGAAGCGACCGGGCGCCAATCAGGCCGGGAAGGGAGAGAGGGAGGGAGGGAGAGAGGCGGGGAGGGAGGGCCGGAGGGAGGGAGGGCGAGCGGGGCCGGCGGGGAGAGATGGCGGAGGGCGGGGACCCCCCGCCGCCCCGGGCAGGTACCGTGGGCAGGGGGCTCGGGGGGCTGTGCCGGGACACACACACAGGGCTCATCCCGGGGCTCATCCCGGCTCCCCGCCGTGTCTCCCTCCAGCGCAGGTCGGAACCTGAAGGAATGGCTGCGGGAGCAGTTCTGCGACCACCCCCTGGAGCACTGCGAGGACACCCGGCTGCACGACGCCGCCTTCGTGGGGGACCTGCCCACCCTGCGCAGCCTGCTCCAGGACGAGAGCTTCCAGAGGTGAGCAGAGCTCCCGGGGGGGAGGTTGGGGAGACCCTCGGGGGGCACGGCGAGCTCCCGCGGCTGCCGCGATGGTGCGTCCCGGCGCCTTTTGGGGACCCCATCGCACCCCGGTGCGCGCAGAGCGGGCTGGGTCGGGAGGGACCGTAAGGATCATCTCGTTCCATCGCCCCGTGCCACGGGCAGGGACACCTCCCACCAGCCCAGGTTGCTCCAAGCCGGCCCTGGACACTTCCAGGGATGGGGTTTTCACGGGAGAGGCGTCAGGGTGGGAGGATGCTCCACTCTCCATCCCCACAGGCTGTGCCTTTTGGGGACCCCCATTTCATCTCACTTTTTTGGGGAGACGTGTCTTCAAGGATGCTCTGTCTCTGTCCCCACAGCCTGCACCTTTAGGGACTGTCATCTCAACCTGTTTTCCATAGAGTGGTTTGGGTCAGGAGGGACCTTAAAGCTCATCCAGTCCCACCCCCTGCCATGGGCAGGGACACCTCCCGCTGAACTCCCACCTCCCTCCGACCTGGCCTTGGACACTTCCAGGGATGAGGGGTTTTGTGGGAGAGATGTCAGGGTGGGAGGATGCTCCACTCCCTAGATCATCCCCCCTGGTCTCCCAGGACACAGATCTCACACACAGAGGTGGTGGCCAGGCACAAACTCTTTTCAGATCAGGGTAGGAATGTGATCCCATGAAAACAGCAGCCCATGGATAGCGGGAAAAACGCACAGAAGGGATCACAATCAGCTATGAACCCAAAACACCCCATGTTACAAACTCTGCCCATTGCTAACCCTGGGGATAGTTAAGTAATAATAATGAATAATAAGTAATTTTCCTGCACCTTGGAGAAATCTGCTTGGAGGGCTAAGTGTGTCCTGGCCTCAAAAAAGTGTCAATTCAGCAAAAAAGGAGAATGAGCCAAACCCTCTTTCTGCCCCCTGGGCAGCTGGGGCTCTTTGGACCCTTGGCCTGAGGGGTTCTGTGCAGGAAAAAGCAGAGTTTGACAGGAAGAGGAGGGCTGGGCCCACAGCACCATCACACAGGTGATGGAGGGAGCAGGGAAGGGATGTCTTTGGTTGTGGGGGTGGATCTGGAGTTCCCCAAATCCCCAAGGATAAAGGGAGCACTTTGATTTTAAGACTCCACAGCTTAGGGCTCGATGTGGGGGGTTATACTGCTCCTTTTCCAGAGCCATCTCTTTCTGTAAATTGGAAAAGACCCTTATCCCTGTCCAGCCATCCAGCAAGGGTTGGATGCCCTTTCTTAGGATGGCTGGACCTCCCAAACCGAGTTTCCCTGGATTTGTGATTATGTCATGCCGTGGTCCCTGGCTGAGCGTGGGTGTTTCTGGTGCTGTGACACAGCTGCATCCCAACATTTTCCATATTTTTCTCCCTTTGTCCTGTGTCCTCTTGCCATTTCCCTGCTGCTTTGGTGGCTTTCTGCACCCTTTGGAGCAGCTTGGTTGTGATCCCCAGCTTGGTCACTGCTGATTTCATGGAGCCATGGGATCACAGACTGGTTTGGGTTGGGAGGCCCCTAAAGCTTGTCCTGTTCCATGGGCAGGGACACCTTCCACTGTCCCAGGTTGCTCCAACCTGGCCCTGAACACTTCCAGGGGTGGGGCAGCCACAGCAGTGTGGGATATTTCCCTGCCAAAGGGGAGTAGGGCAGTGGTTTATGTTCTTTACTGATGACTTTGCCTGAGTTTTGGGGCAGAGCTGGGAGCAAGCCCGAATTCCAGGCCCTGCTCCCGGCTATGTCTCCGTCCAGCACCTCTCAGGTTACTGACAGGGCTGCTAAAAAGTGCCAAAAATCCAGGGATATCCTGAGCTGGAAGGGATCACCTGACCCCACCCCTGGCCCTGCCCAGGCCACCCCAACAATCCCCCCTGTCCCTGAGGTGTGTCCGAACGGGACAGCCCCAGGACCGCGGCCGCCGCCCCGGGGAGCCTGCTCAGTGCCCGTGTGCCAGGGGCAGTTTGGGCTGGCCCAGCGTCCCCTCTGGGAGCTGGAAGGCCTCTCTAACGCCCGGTTCTCGCCGTGGTGCAGCCGGATCAACGAGAAGTCGGTGTGGTGCTGCGGGTGGCTGCCCTGCACCCCCCTGCGCATCGCGGCCACCGCCGGCCACGGGCCCTGCGTGGACTTCCTGCTGCAGAAAGGGGCCGAGATCGACCTGGTGGACGTCAAGGGACAGACAGCCCTCTACGTGGCCGTGGTCAACGGGCACCTGGAGTGCGCCAAGATCCTGCTGGAGGCCGGGGCTGATCCCAACGGGAGCCGCCACCACCGCAGCACTCCCGTGTACCACGCGGCGAGAGTGGGGCGGGCGGACATCCTGCAGGAGCTCATCAGGTGAGAGCTGGGGACATCCATGGGGTGGGGACAGGGCTGGACATCCTGCAGGAGCTCATCAGGTGAGAGCTGGGGACAGGGCTGGACATCCTGCAGGAGCTCATCAGGTGAGAGCTGGGGACAGGGCTGGACATCCTGCAGGAGCTCATCAGGTGGGAGCTGGGGACAGGGCTGGACACCGTGCAGGAGCTCATCAGGTGAGAGCTGGGGACACCCTGGGGTGGGGACAGGGCTGGACATCCTGCAGGAGCTCCTCAGGTGGGAGCTCAGGGACAGCCTGGAGTGGGGACAGGGGTGGTTATGGCACAGAAATCGTGCAGGAGCTCCTCAGGTGGGAGCTCAGGGACAGCCTGGAGTGGGGACAGGGGTTGTCGTGGTGTGGCTGTCAAGAGGTGCCTCTATCCAAACCCAGGTGTGGCAGCAGATGTGGTTCGGGCCCTGTGCTGAATCCACAACAGGGATTTTAGGGCACAGTAAATGTGAGGGAGGGAGATGGAAAGCAGCAGAAAAGAGCTGGGGTGGGGAGGAGAGAGGGACACCAAGCAGGAGATCATCCCCAGCTGTGCATCCAGCGGTGTCCCACTGGTCCTTCTTCACCCTGGGCTTGTCCCTGGTGGGGTCCTGGAGTCGTGCTGGGGGTACCCCCTTTGGACAGTCTGAATTCCGGGTTTCCAGGGGGTGGTCACAGCTATTCCCATAATTTGAGGTGACACATGTTGGCAAAACCACGACAGGGGAGTGAGTTTTCACTGAGTGCAGCTTTCAGGAAGCTGGCAAGGAGGAAAAATGGAACACAATCCCCCCTCTCCTTGCTCCTTTCCCAGGAAGCTGAGAGCAGGATGTCCCCAGCGCCATGTGCTTGTTGATTCCCAAAAATCTCCCCTGATCCACCTCCCACCCCCAAGGCAGGCTGGAATGCAGCAAATGGGATTTTCAGCAGCCCAGGGAGAGCTGGTGCCTTAATTTATGTGTCTGCTCCTCAGGATACCTTGCCAGCAATATTAAAAGCAAGATTTTTGGAAAACTTTCAGGCTTAAAAATGAACTGGAGTTTGTCCAGTCCCTTTTTTTTTATTTTTATTTGGGAATGTCTCTCCCAAGGCTGCTCAGTTAATACCAAATTGTCAGATTGCCCAAAATGTCAGATATCCCTGAGCAGGGATTTCACAGGTCCAGGCAGTGGCTTAGTTAAAGGTGCAGCTCTCTCCGAGGTTTTGGAGCTGGCAGAGGGAATGCCATGGGGAAGACACTTTTCCTGGGATATAAGGAAATATTGCAGGCCCCAGACAGCCCAGCTGAGTCAGGTTGTGTAAACCTCACCTGGTTAATTCTGGGTTTAAAATCACACACCATAGCACAGTGGGGATCCCTGAGCATTCCTGACCCAAGGAGGAGGGGGAATCCTATCCATTGATAGGAAATCCACACATCTGGGGGATGGTGATCTGTTTCAGGAGGCAGCTGGTGGAAATATTTCAGGGGGAGATGACTTCCCTCACGGCTGGGGACGGGATGGGTTGCAGTGGCTGATCCGGCAAGGATGAGAGGATCCTTTTTCCAGGTTAAAACAGGGAAAAAGGAGAGCTGGCACATCCCCCTGCTGCTTCAGGTGCCTGTCTGACTCTGGCAAAGCAGAATTTGGGGTTTGCTCGGAATTGAGGGTTTCCTCTGCAGATTTTGGGGGAAAAAAGAAGGACTGAAATGAAGGGATACCTGCTCCCTGCTCAGGAGGTCACCCTATGGAAGTGGCACTCCATCCAAAATGCTCCTGGGATCTGATTTCAAGTGGAAAATCCACTCTGTGCCATTGGCAGCTCTTGGAGGAGTCTCAGCCCTGTTTCTGGGTGTGGCTGGGACTCTTCCCCCCCTCAGAATTGAAGGATTTGGTTAAAGAGTTGCTGGTCTCAGCGAGAACTGGGCTTGTTCTGAGGCAGGGTTTGTCCCCTGGGATTTTCCTTGTTTTTATCAGCTCCTGCAAGGGATATAATGGTGTTTAGGAAGCCAGAAGGATCTCTGAGCACCCAGTTTGCAATTTGGGGAGGGGAATTGGTGGGTGAGGGAACCTTTTATCCCTCTATGGTGCAGAAGGGGCAGGGCTTTGCTCAGTCTGCAGTGGTTAAAACCAGCCATTCCTTAGGGACTGGGGTGACTTCCTCCTTCTTCCCCTCCAAGCTGTGTGGGAAGGAGATGGAATTAGTGTCTCCACCATTCCATGGGGTCAGTCCTTCAGGAACTGCTCCAGTTTCATCCTCCATCTATTTTTTTCCTTCTTAAATGTGTTATCCCAGAGGCATTGCTCTCATTCCCGATGGGCTCTGCCTTGGCCAGTGGCAGGTCAATCCTGGAGCTGGAAGTGCCTCTGCCGGACATGGAAAAGCTTCTGGAAAAAACACCCTTGGAGCCCCCCCCTTCCCCAGCTAGCAAAGCCTGGCCATGCAAACCCAACACAGGAGGGCAAGGGAAGATGTTTCCCAGCTGCTCCTCCTCTTCCCAAATCCTTTGCTTCTGGAAGATCCTCCCGTGGCCGGACGGGTTGTCCCTAATCCGAAGCCCCTCCAGACCCACCTGAGGGTGGCACTTCATGGCCGGTGGGAGCCAGAGGTGCCAAAGACAGGCAGGGTCCTCGCCGGGTGTTCCCAGAGCCGCTCATTTCCCCGTGCCCGTGCAGGTACGGCGCGGACGTGGACGTGAACCACCACCCTCCCGCCCGCGGACTCTCGTCGCGGCCCCTCACCACGCTGGTGGTGTGCCCCCTGTACATCAGCGCCGCCTACCACAACCTGCGGTGCTTCCAGCTGCTGCTCCGCGCCGGGGCCGACCCCGACTTCAACTGCTGCGGGCCCGTCAACCTGCAGGGCTTCTCCAGGGGCTCGCCCGTGTGCGTGATGGACGCCGTGCTGCGCCACGGCTGCGACGCCGCCTTCGTCCGCCTGCTCGTCGACTTCGGGGCAGACCTCAGCCTGGTCAAGCTGGACGCCTTGGCCCTGGAGTCCACGGCGAGGGTCAAAGTCAACCCCGAGGCGCTGGAGGTGTTCAGGGAAGCCAGGGGTAAGTGGGGTTGGAGTTCCCGGAGCGGAGGATTTGTGCCGTTGTCCCTGTCCTGCAGTGATTCCATGTTTACCCTTGCAGGCCATCCCTGCAGCGATTCCATGTTTACCCTTGCAGGCCATCCCTCAGCGATTCCATGTTTACCCTTGCTGGCTGTCCCCTCAGTGATTCCATGTTTCCCTTGCAGGCCATCCCTGCAGCGATTCCATGTTTCCCTTGCAGGCTGTCCCCTCAGTGATTCCATGTTTTCCTTGCTGGCCATCCCCTCAGTGATTCCATGTTTTCCTTGCAGGCCATCCCCTCAGTGATTCCATGTTTTCCTTGCAGGCTGTCCCCTGCAGTGATTCCATGTTTTCCCTTGCAGGCCGCCCCCGCAGTGATTCCATGTTTTCCCTTGCAGGCCATCCCCTCAGTGATTCCATGTTTTTCCTTGCAGGCCGTCCCCGCAGCCTCCTGTCCCTGTGCCGCATCGCCATCCGGAGAACCCTCGGCAAATCCCGCCTGGAGCTCATCCACATCCTGCCCGTGCCAGACCCCATTAAACAGTTTCTACTCCACGAACACACCTAAAGGACGGCCGGCTGCTTCCCTGGACGCTTTGGTTTGGTCGGTTTGCCGAGGCCGGGTGCCGATCCCGACCCTTTCCCCACGGAGTGCGCGTCATTCCCCGCTCCTGGGATGTTTTCCTGCCCTTCTGGATTTCAGGGGCGGTGTTTCTGTGTGTCCCTCGCATCTCCCCAGGGGGATTTGCTGGGAATGAGGCTGAGCGAGGTGTGTGGGTGTTGCTGAGTAAATACAATATATCCCGGAGCCGCTGGCACAAGTGTAACTCTGTCACTCCTCTGTTCCACGCTCCTGGCTCTCCCTGCTGGAGCCTTTCCTCTCCCTGCTGGATACTGGAAGTCTCTCTCTGGTACCGGCACTTGGCCTTTCCCTCCTGTGGGAAGTTTGTGAGTAAAATTGGGGGTATTTCCCTCTGTCCTCTTCTGGTGGCACAGACAACCAGCAGTTGCCACCTCCCTTTGACTCCAGATCCCATCCCTCCCACATCCACTTTCCAGCTCTGGGAAAGGGAGAAGAAAGGGCTTTTGGGCTTGAGGTGGGAGACTCCCACTGGGAGATTCTGTGCCTGCACTCCTTTGATTCCCAGTGCCTCTTCATGCCATGGGCTCCCAGGAAAGTGTCTTCTCCAGGGAGCCAACAGCCTTTCCTCAGGATCTCAGGGTCAGCTCCTTAAAGGCTCAGGGTCAGTGTAGAGGAATCCCTGTCAAAATCCCAGCATCAGGAGGGCAGAGATGGTGGTCCCTCGGGATCTTGGGAAAAAGCTCAGGTGATAATTGGTACTTGCTTTTACTTCACTGCTTCAGGTCCTTTCTGGTCCCTGTGGTAGGAGTTGATGTTTTGGACAGTTTTGCTCTGCCAGATGTTCTTCCCATGCTCATCCAGTGGGCAAAGGGGGTTTTTCCAGATGGGGCTTTAAAGATCATCAAATCCCAGACTGGTTTGGGTTGGAAGGAACCTTTAAAAGCTCATCTCATTCCAACCCCCTGCCACGGGCAGGGACACCTTCCACTAGCCCAGGTCGCTCCAATCCCTGTGGATTTACCCCACAGGCCTTGACAAATGTTCTTTACCCAGAGCCACGGATAAATGGAGGGCAGGAAAAATCCAATCCCTGATTATTCCCTGTTACTTCAGTTCCATGGCCTGGAATATCCAGCTGGCCCCTTCCCTCCTGTTTTTAGCTTGAGGTGGCAAAAGCAGAGGACGTTCCTGAGCCCTGGCTGGGTGGGATGGGGTGGATGTGGAGCTGTGAGCAGGTGAGGAGGCAGCAGCTTTTCCCTGTTCCCGCTCCAGGCGAGCAGCTGGTTTCGGTTTTCCCGGTGCCTGCGAGTCGTGTGCTGGCTTTATGGAGGTGTTAACATGCCTGGGAGATGCAAACAGGTTGTAAAAGCCTCTTGGCACCTTGCTGGGGGATCCCTAATGTTTTGCAGGAGCACGGGATGGACATGCTCCGGGGCGGAGGGGCGGGAGTTGGGGTGGGTTGGGTCGGGGCAAAGCCATGGAAGGGGCTTATTTGGGGTGGCTTTTCCCCCTGGATTTTCAGTTGCCGTGCAAACAGGGCGCTCCTGGGTGAAGGTGTGGGCAGAGGGAATCACAGAATCTCTGGAGCTGGATCCACAAGGACCATCCAGGCAGCTCCTGGCCCTGCTTGGGGCAGCCCAGCAATCCCACCCTGTCCCTGGGAGCATTCTCTGAGCTCTTGGTGCTGTGACCAAACCCTGAGGAGCCTCTTCCAGGGCCCAACCACCCTCTGGGGGCTCCTTCCACCTGGAACGAGCTCTGGTGCAGTGCCCCAGTGGGAATTCCCCCAGGAAATGGGGAGGATTTGGTTAATTTGCTGCCTGATGTAACTCCAGGACAATTAAAGCTCAGCCTGTCACAATATTAATTCTGGATTCCATCCCAAAGATCCCCCTGCCCATGGATCTGTGCAGGTCAAAGGATGCTTCTCCCAGCCCAAGCCTGGAGTTCATCAATCCCTTGGCCATGTGCAGAATCAGAGCCTGGAAGTGCAGGACACGTTTTTCCTGGATCATCCGTCCAGCTTCCATCTTCCCTGAGGGAATGTGCTCTGGGAAAGGTCTGGTAACCCTGGATGGTCCTTTTGGCTTCAAAGGGGTCCAGCTTAGGGACAACTCAATAATAAGCTGTAAGTGCCAGATTTCTCTTATCCCTGTGGACATTGGTTGCTACTTAAACCCAGCCTACTTAAACTCAGCCTTGCCAAGTGGTTTTATACACAGGAGAGCTGGAATTTTCCTTGTAGAGAGATAATAATGAATCTGAAAATAAATTAATGATAATGATTGGGCCTCAGTGTCCTGTGGGGCCCAAACCTCCATCCTCTGGCTGTCCCTGTCCTTTTAAACCCAGGAAACGAGAGTCTTCCAATATAAAATCCAAATAATATTTAGGCATTCTGATCTAAATAGTAATTAGTTGTATTCTAATAATATTCAGGTATATTCTAATAATATTTTAGGCATTTATGTATTTTCACACTGCATAAACCAAAGAGCCAAAGCAGATCTGGGATAAACCAAGCAGATCCAAAGCAGCCTTTTTTTTTTTCCTGTGGGCTTTCCTCTTGTCTTTGTGGCTCAGGGAAAAAATTCCAGGCCATGGAATGCTGGGAGCTGGGACCCAAAGATTCCCTGCTCTTTGGGAATTTTTCCAAAAGGTGGAGGAAGAGCATCTGTTGAGTTGAAGCAATTTTTTGGGTTGTTTTGGGTGGGTTTTTTTTTTTTGGGGGGGGGGGGGTTTGTTTCACGTCCTTCAATCCCCAAAGTCAAATATTAAAACCCTTTTAACCCCCAAAAGGTGCAGCACCTTTTTAGCTTTTCTTCTTCCAGGGAGGAAAACACCAGGAGGGAACAGAGGGGACAGAATCCCACTTCCAGAGGTGCCAATCAGTGGTTTGTTGGCTTTTCCCAGTGGGAAAAAAGAAAATCAGCCCTATGGTGGTTCTGTATCCACGTGGAGCCCAATAAAGATGTTCCGGTGCAAGAGCTTGGCTTGGTGCCTAATTCTTTGCTTCGGGAGATGGCTCTGGATTTGGGAAAGCCTGGATCCTGCCGGCTGTGGAGGCTGTGGCTGCCTCCTCTCCGTGTTGTGTAGCCACTGGAGGGGGCCGGAGAACAGGGAATGCTCCAGTGCCAGCTCCTGCCTTGCCACCCCGGGAGATCCTGATTTTTTTCCCCCGGTTTTTCAGGAGAGCCTGAAAACTTTCCACCTGCTCCCTCCAAACAACCCTCTCATTCCTGCTCCTGCCTCCTTGGGAGCTCTGGAAATGCAGCTCCTCTGTGTGTCCTGGCATGAAAACACGTGGAATTCCTCAAAATGTTTGGATTTTTATAACTTAGCTTTCATTTTTGCAGCATTTTCGTCAGAGAACTCCCTCCAAGCTTCAGTTCCTGCTGGTTGCTCTGTTCTTCCCAAGGGTCAGCAGGTGGATTTAGTCCCTGTAAGTGCCTGCAGTCCAGGGCACAGTCCCTTTTTTCAGGACTCCTGCTTTTCCCATTTGGGAAGTGCTTGTCTGCCCCAGTGCCAGCCTTCCCTCTGAAGGCTAAAACCAGAGTTTCTCCCCAGCTGGAAGAAAAAAACCATCCAATGGTTTTGGAATTCCAGTGGTGACAAACAAAGCCAAACGAGCCCTAATCTTAAATTTTCCCAACTCCAGCCTTGAAATTCCTCTGACATGGAGCAGGACCCTCCTGGCTCTCTGGGCATCTCCCCCAGGGCCCCCCAGTTGGTACCTCCTGGTGCATCTCTGGAGGTTTCTCCTCAGCTGGGAGAGCTCTGTGTGTCTGAGCTGCCAATCCCAGCACAAGCAACGTGGAATTGTTGAAAGGGATCGCAGGTAATCCACCTGTGTCCCTCAGTTGTCCCTCCAGGGTGGAGGAGCTGGGAATTCTGGTCGCCTCTCAGTGAATTCCAGCTGTGACAGACTCCCCTCTGAGCCTGTCATTGTGGCATTTTCCTTCTTATCACACTCAGGAACCTTTAAGGAAGAGAAAAGATCTCTTCTTGCACCGTGTAGTGCTCAAATATTTGCTCTGGGCTTTGAGAACCCACTAAATCTCAGGCAGTGTCCCAGGAATTCCTGTAGAATCCGTTATTCCCACTGCTGGGCAAGCCCCTCCTGATTTAACTTGTTGGCATTCCCCATCAGCTCCTTCGTGTCTTCCCTCCCAAAGGAGGTCTTTGATCCCTGGAAGAAGAAGAAGAAGAAGAAGGAAAAAGGTTGTGGAGGTGGATAAAGAAGGAAAAGGTTGTGGAAGAAAAAGAAGAAGGAAGAAGTTGTGGCTGCCCCACCCCTGGAAGTGTCCCAGGCCAGGTTGGACGGGGCTTGGAGCCACCTGGGCTGGTGGGAGGTGTCCCTGCCCATGGCAGGGGGTGGCACTGGGTGGGCTTTAAGGTCCTTTCCAACCCTAATCTGCAGCCCCCAAGCCCACAGTCGCACTGGGGAGTCATTCTCCTGCCTCCATTTCCCTCTACATCCAGCACTTCCCCCCCTTGTTCCGTTTTCCACCTTTTCCCACTTTTTTTTTTTTTTGGGGGGGGGGTGTTTCATAGCTGCTGCTCCCGAGCCAAATGAAATGTGCTGTTGTTTACAGGAAAGGGCTCTTTGTTTTCCCAGCATCTGGTGTTTGTGAGGGGAATGACAGCTCTTCCCAGCAGAAAACCCTCTGGCCTGGCTGTGCCTGGCCAGGAATCCCCATGTGCCACCACATCTTCATCCTGAGGAGGTCCTGGAAAATCCCAAGCCGGTAGGAAAGGGCTCAGAGCAACCTGGGCTAGTGGAAGGTGTCCCATGGCAGGGGGTCCTTAAGGTCTTTTAAGATGCCCTTAAGGTCCTTAAGCTGGTCCTTAAGGTCTCTTCCCACCCAAACCATCCTGGCATTCCTTGACCCGAGTCAGGGAGATGGATAAGATGGTGTGGGACAACACTGTCCCTGATTAATGGCTTCATTCACACCCCCCCAGGCTTTCCATGAGCTTTCCAGACATCCCAGGCTGAGGTGATCCTTGCAGTCCTCTGCAGGCTGCCGAGGGAGTTTTGGCAGCTGCTCCCCAGCCCTGAGTTCCAGCTCGGCCAACTCAGCACTTGCCTTTAATTTGAATAATTTGGCGACATCCCTTTATTTGAACGTCTTTCCAAGCCAGGGGCTGCTTTTCCTCAGAGAAAATGAGAGTAGAAGGCTGGTAAAATGCCTGCAGAAACTGGAAGTTAAATTAAGAACTGGTTTTAAGAGCCCTGAGTGCACTTAAGCCCCCCGTAGTGGTGTTGGGAGTGCTGGGAGCTCGCGGTGCCCCTCGGAGGCACGGAAGGTTTGGGAGGCTCAGGGAGTGGGGGGATTGTTTTGTGGGTGTTTCCAGCCTTTCTGAGCCTGGTTTTTGTTTGCAGTTGGAATGTATTAATAGGGGCATCCTTTGTTTTAATTCCCACAGAAGGCAGTTTTTACCAAAAAGGTCTTTATTTTGGAAAGTTTGGGCTGTGGAGCATTTTTGTATCGATGTGGGAGCAGCTGGTGGAGGTTTGATCCATTTGATCATCTCTTCATACAAGGCCTTTTCACAAAGGCCTGGAGGGACAAGACACAGGGAATGGCTTCCTGCTGCCAGAGGGTAGGGTTAGGTGGGATATTGAGAAGGAATTCTTCCTTAGGAAGGTGGGGAGGGGCAGGGATGGAATTCCCAGAGAAGCTGTGGCTGCCCCATCCCTGGTAGTGTCTTCAAGGCCAGGTTGGAGCAATCTGGGCTAGTGAGAGGTGTCCCTGCTCGTGGCATTTGTCACCCTCAGGTACTTCTTCAGCTGGAAAAGAATTTGGCTTTACAATAAATATGTTGTGAGACTTTCTGTTGCTTGAAGGTGTTCAAGTCTTTACCCACCTCAAAGCAGCCAATAAATCCTAGAAATACTACCCAGGAAAGCAGAAGCTTTCAGCTGTCCTAACTTCCCTCTCCATTAGTACAAACTTCCTTAAAGCTAAAGCATCCCAGAATCCCAGACCCATTTGGGTGGGAAGGGACCTTAAAGATGACCCAGTGCCACCCTCTGCCATGGGCAGGGACACCTCCCACCAGCCCAGGTTGCTCCAAGCCCCATCCAACCTTGGACACTCCCAGGGCAGCCACAGCTTCTCTGGGCACCAGAGCAGAGGTTCTTTGCCCCAGCTGCTGACCAGCCTGGAGGGGGGTTGTCTGGGACCTGTCAGATTTGGCAGTGCTGGGCTGCACTCCATGATCTCACAGGTCTTTTGCAACCTGAGTTATTCCATGATTCCATCTGTGCTTTCCCCTGTGCCCAAGGCTGCCCCTGCAGCATCTCCATGACCTTTGTGCCACCCCCCCACGGTGTCTGCCCGAGTGACCCCTCGCTCAAGCAGCCCTAAATCTGTGCAATCTGGCAGATGGGAGCTATTTTGAGCCCA